ACACTCAACCACCCACTCACACCCACTCACCCATTTACCTAATCACCCAACCACTCGCACACCCACTCACACACACTCAACTATTCACACACCCACTTACTCACTCACAAACTCGCAGCAGTAGTATATTTACAGGTTAATGAACAGCAGACGCAGTAATAAGCAGGGCAGCCCAGTCGATTATGACCGCTCGGCTATCAACACGGTTCCCCCTGTGCGCGAATTGCCTCTGCACGGGAACGTTGGCGCTGCAGTTAGCGCGTCGCACTGCGCTAACCAACTCGGCAGCAGAGACCCGAGTTCGATCTTGGCTCACAACCAAACATCAGTGACGGTGAATATTTTAATCCGGTCCTGGCTCCCCTCTTGGTCGACTTAGCCACAAATTTGTATCTGGAGCGGTGTGTATACAACATCAGCCCAGGGGTAGAGACTGGCTGTGTTGCTCGCCACATCACCCCCTCGTGTGCCACCGTGCCGGCCATCATAACAGCACTTTCCCCAACAGTCTCTTAGAGGCTACATGGGGAACTTTGTTTTTGTCTATGTGGGGAGCGGTGGCGCAGTGGATAGACCGCTGCCTCCCCCCCTTTCCCCCTTAATGAACCCAGGCTAACCACCTGAGGTCGATCCGAATACGTGGTATAATGCGTGAACGTCAGTTCTGGGGAGAGAGAGACAAAGGCGGCTGGGCGTGGTTCCGAGGGCCTGAGTCCTGTGCGGTGTCCGTGTGCGAGTGTGTATATAACACCAGCAACTGGGGGAGACAAAGGCGACCGGGCGTGGTGCTGGTCTATAGGCGCTGCTCGTCACTAACATCACTTGTCCCCAACAGCCTGCGAAGGCTATACGAGGTGGGGATCTTTGTCTTTGGTATGAGCATGGATCCCACAGACGAGATAATAGGCGCTTAATCATTGCCAGGAGCTAATCATTCACAGTCTCTCGAATGAACATCAAAGCCAAGACAAAGATGTCCCAGATGGTATTCAACATGGCTGTGTGGAAGGCAAGTGCTGAACTAAACTATAAAAAAAAATGTTTACCATGTAAGGCGCCACTGAGCTGATTAGCTCTTTTTCAGAAGCGACCTCTGGATGTCGCAAATGATAGCTCAAAGAAGTTAGTGGCTAATATTAATGCTGAGCATTTCTTAGACGTCTTTGGGGAAGGAAACCCCCTCAGCTCAACCAGTATCACAGGCTGCTGAGCCTCAAATATTGAAGAATGTAGCCGCTATTAGTGAGTGGTTTGCTCAAGTGCCATCTGTTCAGGAAGTGTGAAGGGCGATCCGGAGCTAGGAACCAGGTGAAGTGCCGGGAAGATATGACCTTTCAAGTGACATGCTGAGGAAGGGTGGCGTTTGTGTGCAGACTGCCTATATGACATCATAATAACAGTCTGGACGAGTTCCGCAGGATGATAGGATGCCCTGGCGGCCCCCCTCTGTAATAAGGGAGACTGCACCAGACTGTAACAACAACAGGAACATCTTCCTCCTCAGCGTGCCGAAAAGCTCCTGGCAAGGATTATTCAACATCGCCTTGCAAGGCACACTGAGAGGCTTCGGAGCCCCATTGTGGTATGAGGCCAGAAGAGGTGTAGAGAGTTTCAACTGGCCCTACAAATCTGCTTCATTGACCTGGTCATGATTAGAATAACATTAATAGGCAGGGCTAGGTTATTGTTCGTGCTTTTGAGTCCCAGATCACCTGCTCATGATCATAAAGGACGGACCTTCAATGATGCATGGCAGGGTGTAAGCGCCATTTCACTTCACCTTGGGGTTGCTGCAAGGATGTCCTCTGGCTCCCACATTATTTTAAATTATCTTCAACCACGTAGTTCGAGAGGCTTACCATGACTGTACCAGTGGAACTTCCATCGGGTACAGAGACATAGGAGGCTGATTGATGTCCAGTTTCGGTAAAGGGATGGCTCTCTATTGGTCAACCATGTTTTGTATGCCGATGATCTGGTGATTGCTGCCCACTCTGAGAAGGAGTTGGAGGCACTGCTGCTGAACCTGGAGCGTGCCACTAAGAGATGGACCTTACCATCAACCCCACAAAAAACAAAGGACATATCTCGGTATTTTAGGTCATCAAATGCTTCAATCCATCAACTCCCCATGAGTGATGGGACAGTTGTGGAGAGAGAGAAAGAAGTTTATGTGAATATAAATGTGTCGTTTAAGCCGCCACCACCCAACACACCCAATTCGTAAGATTTGTCACTGAAACAAAACATGGCAATTAGTTACTAGTTCATCACACCGGTTGTGCATTTACAATGCGAGTACCGTAACGTTCGCTGGTAATTACAACCAGCCTCATCAGGCGGACAGCCAGAA